GGAGGTGGGGGGAGCCGCGGGAGCCGCTCCCTCCTCGCCCAGCCCGGCCCGGCGGCGGCAGCGGCGGCGGCTGGAGGAGGAGGCGCAGCGCGCAGACATGGCGGCCAACATGTACCGAGTGGGAGGTAGGTGGGAGCCGGGCCCGGCCCCCCGGGGCGCTGCGGGCAAGGGGTAGCGCGTGGGGGTGGTGTGTGTGTGGGGTCGGGCCGGGCACCGGGGCAAGACGGGGAGCAGGGCCCGGCCCGGTGCTGCCCCAGGAAGAGGGCACGGGCGGCCTGCCCGCAGGGCCGGGGGCACAGGCAGCGCCCCCTCCCCCACCCCCTCAGCGGGGCAAGCGCGTGCTTCCCGCAGCCTCTGGATGTCTCTGTGTGTGCACACGCGTGTGCCTGTGTGCGTGCATGTACCTGTAGTGTTTGCACCCTTGTGTGACTGTTTGTGCATGTGTACCTGTAGTGTGCGTGCACGCATGTGCCTGCAATGTGTGCACATCTGCGTGCTCATGGGTGCCTGTAGTGCGCGCGCACGCGTGTGCTTGTGTGCACACGTGCGTACCTGTAGCGTGCGTACCTGCGAGTGCACACGTGCCTGTGCGTGTGTCCATGTGCACGCATGTGCTTGTACCTGTAGTGTGCGCATATACATATGGTTGTGTGTGTTTGTACACGTGTGGCTGTGTATGTGCACACATGTTCCTGTGTGCGCGCACGCATATGTGCATGTGCCTGTGTGTGTTCATGGGTGTACCTATGCATTTGCACACATGTGCCTGGGTGTGTGTGTGTGTGTGTGCCTATGCACCTGTGCCTGCCTGTGTGGGTACGCACATGTGCCTGTGTGTGTACCCATGCTCGTGTGTCCATGTGTGTTGCGGGGAAGGCAGCTGTCCCCTGGCAGGAGGTTGTTGAGGGCAGGAGGTCCTGTGCCTGGCCCCTGCTCGGGTCTGATGGGCCCACAAACTGCATCCGTCTGGGATTTCCAGCAGTGTCTGTCATTCCCCGTTGCTGCTTCTTGAAGGTGCAGTTCCTACCCCTGCTTCCCTTTCTACCCCCACCTCACCCTACCCCACCGCACCCCAGTTTGATGATAAGCCGCCTCTGGTCTGCTGGGTAATGGAGCGATTTTTGTTATCCCCTTTCTCTCCCTGCGGCCAGGCAGGCCAGGCTTCTGTGTGTTGGTTCACCCACTGCATGGGCAGCACAAGGGAAGTGAGGCCAGTCAGAGAGTCCAAGAGTCTGTGGAAGAAGACAAACACTTCCTCTTTACACTGCAGTGCTGCTTTGCTGTGATTCCTCGCATAAGGAATATGAATGGGAAAAGTCCAGCTGAATTTTGCCTCTGTACACCCCTGACAGTTACTACACAAAAGTATACCTGTCCCATCGCTGCCAAAAGTAGTATTCTGTGCTTTAAGAGGACAGATGGAGAACAGGAACTTGATAAGATGCATGTTTTCCTGTTTGAGCAAATCATGTGCTAAGGAAGCCTGAATTAAAGATAGCAAACTGATGAACTGGGTCCTCCTTGTCCCCCTTCCACCTGATGCAGTTATAGCAACAAGTCTACTTTGTTCCTCTTCCTTTATTAGGTCATTTAGTCCTGTAAATCTTTACTCAATCTTTACTAGAGTAGTGCTTCTGAAGATCAGGTAATGGTTTAGACCAAGGATGTCAAAGATGTGGCCTGCAGGCTGGATCTGGCCTACAGAACTATTATCTGTACAGTGGAGCTCTTGGAGGGGGTAGAATGAGCAGGGGCAGGGCCCACAATTGGATTTTGAGGTATGGAGACTGGGTTTTTGGTTGTAGCCATGTTGGTCTAAGGACATAGGCAGGCGAGGTTCTTTGGGTAGATGTGATATCTTTTAGACCAACTGAGTAGTTGGAAAAAGGTTATTTGCAAGCTTTTGGGTGCAGTCACCCTTCTTCAGGCATAGGGAGTCTCTGCTGTTCTGAGATCTCTAAGGAATCGAAGCTAAAAGTGTGGCAGGATGTCAGTGAGAATGTAAATAAGTAGAAATTTTTGTTTTTCTAATTTCTGCCTGTTTGCATTTTCACTGACATCCTGCCACACTTTTAGCTTCTCTCATTTCTTGGAGTCTCAGAACAGCAGAGACTCCGTATGCCTGAAGAAGGGTGATTGCACCCAAAAGCTTGCAAAGAACTTTTTTCCAACAACTCAGTTGGTCTTATAAAAGGTATCACATCTACCCAAAGAACCTTGTCTGCTGAGGTATGGAGATGTGTTTCTGCTGCAGGCTGAGCCATGACTGCATTAATCTCTGTGGCTCCCTGAGCTGACACAGCCTTGCTGCCAGCACTGACCAAGGTGGGTGTGGAGTTGGCCAGCAGGGCTCCTTGGGATCTGAATCTGGCCAGGGGGTGTTGCAAGTGAGTCTGACATCCTTGATTTACACGATGTAGTTCCTGCTGCTCAGACTGGATTCTCAGCCTGTGGGTCTTCAACTCAAAATAGGGGTCAAAGCCATTCTCTCATTAGGGTGAAATGAGAAGGGATCCTGAAACTTTCTTTTCTTAGGTGGGATCATGATATGAAAAAGGTTGAGAACCATTATCTTAGAGCTTGCTAAACTTTCTACTTTTGTGTTCCATATAAAAAACAATGATAGCATGCATATTTTTTGTGGTTTAATCTTAAACTGTTTCTCAACAACATCTGGGAGGTAGGGTGGGTTATAGTGAAGCTAGTTAATTGGAGATTACCCTTGAAGACTGTAATTAGTAATTGGAGATTACTGGATTATATTCACTTCTATTACATATTTTACTTCTACCATATATAGAAAAAACTCAGACATTGTTGCGAAATGAAAATAAGACCAACTCAAATGTAATTGGAAAGTATCCTTTGAATTTAGTGAAGCATTTCTTGGAGAATCTCCAAAAAAGGAAGGTTTTGAGAAAACAGATTGAGGGAAAGATGTTGCACACAGATGTTTTGATTATTTTGGGGGTCGGACTTGATGATCTGTTGAGGTCCCTTCTGACCCTAGCATCTATGAAAATATTGGCGATATGGAAGTACTTAGCCATGGGGAGAAGAAGATTCTACTTGCTTGTTTTTGAAAATAGTTTTATAGAAATAAAACTAGGTTCTGTATTTGAATACAAGTCCTCACTAATGATTGCTTGTGATTGCTCGCTTCTGTGTTTATAAAACATTTCTTCACTATGTATGATGACAAAACCTGCAATAATGCATCACAAAATATACTTTCTTCACTTATTTTGACCTTTATTCTTATTAATCTTTACTAGGAAATGTGAGAGATCCTATTCTGTAAATATAACTCTCTCAAAACCTCAGTCTTGCATACATCTGTTAAAACTTTCTTTGGGAGGGAGGTTCTAAGACACTGCCAGCATTTTTCAAAGTACACATTAGCAACATAGTCTCTAGTTTAGCAAAGGTTTATGTACACCTTTAATTTTTTGTTCAGTGGGACTAGCGGCGCGCAGTGGAGGGACTTCCCCCTCCCCCCCGCATCCTCTGGGCTCCCTCCCGCTCCTGCCCTGCCCTGCCCTGGCTGGGCAGCACCTACCCCAGCCCCACTCCCACCCTTACCACAGGGGGGCATTGATCTTCCCCCCCCACACCCTTTTCCTCCCCACTCCCCTTTCACCACAACAGACTTACCAGCTGCACGCAGCTCTCCACTTCTGGATTGTGGTCCTCACTGCCTGTGTGCTGTGCTGTGGCTGCGCATGTGCATGTGTATTTATCAGCCAAATTATTGGACACTTCAGGCTGATTTCCAGTATAGTCAATTTTCTTTATATTGGTGCTGATCCAATATCAGGCCAATGTATCAATGCACCTCAGAAGTATTTCTAGGATTGAATGTGAAGCATCATCCTTGTACTAGCCTTTAGGGTTGTGTTTTTCAAACTTCCTAAAGTCATGGAAACCTTTCTTACCACTTCTGCTGTGGAACTCCTACCCCTATTCTAAAGACTGATGTGGATGGAGCCAGGCGACCCGGCCTGGCAGTCTCTTTGTGGAATCCCCGATGACATATTGTGGAGTACAGTTTGAAAACAACTGCTTTACGGTTTGGGAAATTACACACTGACAAACTTGACATTCTGTGTATACTGCTTTTAAAGTAATTAAATGTCTTCATCTTTTGTTCTAGATTATGTTTATTTTGAAAACTCCTCAAGCAATCCATATCTGATCAGGCGGATAGAAGAACTTAACAAGGTACATTAATATGTAAACATTTTTCTATAATACTTGACAACACCTGATGTTCCCTGTTGAATGCAAAGGAACAATTATTTAAAAAACCCATAGAGCATTTTTCTGGCTCTGGCTCTTGTAAAGCTTCCATCAAAAGAATCTTCTGAAGATGCTGCTTAGAAGATGTGTGTTCATGTCATATGTGAATACTTCTTATTGTGTGAGCTATTGTAATTCTGTTCTCTGACATAGAAAAACAGTAATAGCTCATTGCTTGTGATCCAGAAAATTCTGGTAAAAAGCTTAAAAAAACAAGCCAGTCTTTTATAAGGTTATGGGGTTGGATGCTCAGGTGTTTAGTAAGAGAGTGAATTCTCTTACCCTCTTGGTGACCTGAATGATTTGGTTCTGGGTGACAGTGATCACGTGTTACCATTTAGTGTCTGTTCGGTGACCAATGAGAAATGAGTTGTGGGGTCTTTGACAATTTCTAATGGTCACATGGACACTACTTTTCTGATGTTAAAAGAACACTCCTTGTTAATAGTTCTTGGTTAAAGACTGGGGACTTGAAATCTCTGTCTTTGTTAATAGAGTTTTCCCACAGCTGGATCGAGGCTTTTTTTGGTGGCATGGTGAGGATGCACGAAGAGTCTATAGTGAATCACATATTGTTTGGACTACATTTTATAGAGGATGCTGTAATATATTCTACTAATAGTCTATGAACTATTATTATACTAAAAATTGTATATTGTTATCAATAAAAGAAAATTGCTCTTCTAAGCAAATGGTCACAATATATCTAAACACTTAAATTTTTTAAAATTTATGTTTTTTATCTATTAATTCCCCAAATCTGGTATTTGAAAGGGGTAGTCTTTTTATTAATGGAACAGTATGTCACTGCCTTTATTCTTATAGTGATCCACTCAGCTAGTAATTGCACATTATAAATTCCATAATGATCCGTTTGGATTTTTATTAGAGTATAGTATGTTTTATTTACAGCAATTAAAGTGACTTCAATAATGTTCTAAATGTAGCATAATCTTGTCCGAGGGAGAGCACAGCCATTTATTGAATTTTAAAAGAGTGGTTTCCAGGACTTAGTCCAGATTCCTACTGTGGAAGTATGTACCTTTCATGTGTTAAGGATATCATACTGAGCGGAAAGAATATGGGAAATATGCTTTCATTTTTTTTCCACTTATCTTCTTTCTGGAAGAAACTCAATACAGTAAAATTGAGAGTTGTTATATTTTTCTTCTTTAGAGAGAGTATATGTATAGTTTAGTCAGTGTCTATGGCAATTTTTTAATATTCATAATAAAGGAAATGGTAAAAATAAAGTGTTAGCATAGTTTTGTCAGTCTCCTGTTAAGGACCTAAGTCCCAGTAGCAAAAATCCTACAAAAATGATATCCTTGATTTAGTTTTATAAGGAAAATAACTTTTCCATTGAGTTAGCTGAAGTAAGTGAATTCTGAAATCTTCTGAACTTTAATGTAATGTATTGAACATGGTTTAAATTGCCATGATTATTTGAAGTGCATATTTTCACCTAAATGGAATTGGACAAAAAAACCCCATTCAACCGTATATACATATTCTTGAGTTACAATGAAATTGCCATTGCTGCTATTAACAGTCTAACATGGAAATAAACTCTTAATAATCTGTTGCTGTCAATATAAATGTCCTGATCACGTGAACTGTAATTGATATGAGCTTCACTCCTTTGAGAAATTCTGTTGACTTCAGTAGGAGTACTTATGTGAGTGATGATTATTCATACGAGTTAAAATTGGTTGAATTGAGATACATGAGTCCAACAGCTCAGTGGAGCAAGAACAGACCTTGACTTGACTAATATACTCTTATTTTCTAGACTGCTAACGGCAACGTGGAGGCAAAAGTAGTGTGTTTTTACAGACGACGAGACATTTCCAACAGCCTTATAATGCTTGCAGATAAACATGCTAGTAAGTTGATTGTACGTTGTTTTTTCTTTTTAATGTTAATTGCATACATTGAGCAGCTATAAAAATGCATTTATTTTATTGGTCACATGAAAGTTTATTTTCAAAAATAGAGTGTTAATTAGCATGCTTTTTGGTGGTTGGCATTACCAGACTTTTGACTCTGAGCCTGGAGGCTGCTCCTTTTCAGCAAGCCCTTGAACCCTGATGGAGTAGTTCACAGGATAAGATGCTTCCTTTTTACATTGAACTGTTTATGACAAAAAATTCAAATAGAAATACTGGCTACCTGAAACTCAGCAAGAGTCTTTATATAGTCTGTGGGTGTCCAACCTGTCTCATGAGTGCCACAAGCTTCATGGGCAGTCTCTGTGTGACATGACAAATTGAAGAGTGGATAAGCAGCACAATGACAGATAGGACAGGGAGCAGCAAGCAGAGCATCAGATCAGGAAGGGGGCACAGAACAGGGAGCAGAAAGAGCAGCAGCTCAGGCAAGGGAAAGGGATTGGAGTGGTGCATATAGAGAATGCGGAGCTCATTTGTGGCATGTTGCCTTCCGCTGATTTAGTTGGTGTTATGCTTTAGAATGATAGAAATATTCTTAAGTCTTAATGGAAAATATCTTACCCTGACTAAAATTTTAATTCAAATAGCCTAGAACACATCTATCACATGTGTGTGTATATGAAGACTGAAGATCAAATTAATCCCAGGCATAACTCCACTAAAGCTAAGGAGCTTTCATTGGAGGTGAATTGGACTCATTTGTTCTTGCATTATGGCAGAATTATTTTAGACAAGGCACAATTATAAATTTATAGTTGGTTACATGGTGGCATATGAGAAGCAGTACTTGTTTGGTAATATCTTTTATTGAACCAACTGTATAGTTAGGAGAGGTGTTACACAAGTGTTGGGACACAAAATACCTTTCCTTGTGTCTGGGGACCTGACATACAGGTGCACTCAAAGCTAAATACCATGTTAAATGGTAAATTTCAGTATCTTCTCTATTGTAGTAATGTCAGAGTGTTATTGTAGCTGCGATGGTCCAAAAGAGTATGTGAGAAGCAAGCATATTATCTAGATTGTCACAGCTATAAAAGCACTGGTGGCATATCAGGAGAATTAAAGTGTGTTGCATATGAATATGAAAATTGTGTGTATATGGGGGAAAATATTATATTTAAAATAGTTGTGAGTGACTGGGATAAGCATAGATCTCTAGCCACTAAAACATTAAGAGTCATCATTTTTCTGTTCTTTTTAGTCAGAAGCAAAATAGTGGTAGAGAAGAGACTTGCTTTTTGAATATACATCCGATTTTCATTGTACCTATAATTCAGTCAGCTTCCCTCAAAGATCACTTTTATTTCAGTTTCTTCTAGTGAAACTCCTTTTAGAATCTAGGATTCCCACATTGGGATTTGTGTGAGAAAACAGTTATTTGTAAAACTTTACATTCACCCTTGTGAATACATAAGGGTAGAAGTTTGCAAAGTCACCAGTGACATAGTTGTGCACATGCCAATGAGGTTTCTTTTCTAAATTCAGTCTGTGCCTAAGTGGCTTAGTGGTTTTAAAAATCCCACCTTAATTTATAGTGTATCACTATATTTTATTCTAGTATATGTGCATCTTACAGCTAGTGGGTAGCACCACGTACTCTGCATCCAGAGGTATGATTTTGGGGGTGTACACTTTTAAACAAAAATGAAAAATTTTATTTTAGTTTCTAAAGCTAAATTGTTCATTTGACTCATGCGAGTAGTTGTGGTCAAGACAGACGAGCAGGATATGACTCTAAGGTTTTTCTAGATAAGCTGAAGTGGCTTAAAATTTTCTGTACTGGTAAGTGACACTTCAGATCTTAGAATAAATATAAGTATCTGAAATATGTCATTGAGAATGTTTCTGATCATGAGTTAGATAAGCAATTAAACCCTTTATAATATCATTTCCTGGACTTAAAAACATGCAGTGTGCAGGATTTCTGACTGAAGAACTCAAGTCTTGCTTACAATTTTAAAGGAAAGTTTTCAATCTTAAAAAGACTTTCCTGTCTGCCATTTTTTCTTCCATATTTAAGATCCAATTATTTCATGACTGCTTTACCTTGCTCTCCATCACTGTGGTCCCTGAGCACCTTCCATAGGAAATTGGCAGAAATAGCAAAGTCCCTAATGAACCTCATTTAGTCTCTGACACTTCTAACTTTTTGAGGTAAGAAGTTTGCTTAAGGATTGTTGCCTTTGACTTCTAAATATGCATTAATTTACTTCTGGGTTTGCTTCCTTTTTTATAAAACAGGTATTATTGTGAATATCATTCTGTCTGAGAAAAGATGGAGAGAAATGTTTTTGTGCCCTTTTTAAGTGTATTTTTATTGTGTTTTAGTCAGCAGCTTGTTATAATGGTTGTGTAAATGGTCTACTTTTCTTCTGTATTGCACTAGCAGTTTGAAGTTTGTCATGGATAGAACTAGTGCAAGTTTTATGTCAATATTTTGGGAAAAAATGTGTTTTACAGAATTTTCTTCTGATGCTAAAAGCAAAGCAAAATATTTAATGTTGGGCTCGTTTGATGTTAAACACACTGAGCATGCTATGGTGCTTCCTGGCATTGTAGGTGAAATGTGTCATGAGCTGGGCTTCTTGGCTGCTGTATATTTCACAATACACAATAGTTTCCACTAGGGCCATGCCATGTGGTGCATCATAGGTGTCATATGACTAAGCTGCCTCATTGAAGCTCTAGCCACAAAGGCCAGTTGCTGAGAAAAAACATAGGGGCATTAGAACTACAGCTCTCATGAGTTTAAAGTCAAACTTACTTGAAATTGTTTTCCATGCTTGTTTCTACATACCAAAATAAATATTTTGATTCAGAAATGTCATGTTGTTTTATTTTGATCAAAGATGTTGAAACAAAACATTTGGACATTTTAAATTTTTAATATCTTCTCTTGGTTTGGGATGAAAACATATTTTTTGCTAAGCAAAAAGTTCTGGTAACTGTTTTTATCAAAAGAAAACATGAACAGTATTGGAAAAGAGAACAAAAATCCTTTTAAAACCCCAGAAAATTGAAACAAGGCACTTTGTGAAATTAACATGTCTTAGACATGGTTGATTTTATCAAGGGAGCAGAAAATTTTTAGTATTTTTACAAGTCTTGAAGAAAATTCTGAAGGCCCATGCCATTTAAAGATGCTTGGTTAAACACTTGAAATATTTGCAATTAAAAAAATTCATGTTGACAGTGTCCCCCTAAGTTTTCAACACCTGAAATTGGCTGGTGAAACAATTTTTGTTTTTCTTCTGGGAGAAGTGAATTTAACATGTCATTTTTATTTTTCTACTAGCATCAGGGATAATGTCAGTCCAATTTTATTAGCTAACTGCAGCTGCAGGGTAAAGCTGTCAATGGTATTTCGTAGATCTTTGAAGAAATTACTACACCCACATTCTCCCACCTTAATTTTTGGTAATTGGATGGTAGAAGTATTGTGCTGAACTCTGCTTAGGTAAACAAGAGCTGAATTTAACCTATCCAAAATCCAGACAGCATGTCCTGGCTTTCCAGAATATGCAGTAACAGCTCAAGAGGAGGTCATTTTTTAATTTTAACTGTTCATAAAGTACCTTATAAATTTATACTGTCAGAGCTGACTTGTTAAAAAACATAACAGATATTTAAAATATCACATGTTATGTCCTCTGATCTATCAGCTCTTTAAAATGAGGATTGCAATGCAGGTAAAATCTGAACTTCCTTGTGGGGGAATTTGCTAACTGTGAAATGTATGCCTCCGTTCCTTTGAAGCATTCTCATCATACTATCCCATCATTTTATTCAGCTGAAGGTCTTTTGAGCAGGCCAGAGTACTGAGTGCAAGATTCTTTTAAATGTCAGTTGATCAAAGGGAACAGGCCTTGGATATTTGAATCCCTAGTTGCAAGACTGTCAGTCAGACACTGTCAGTCAGCAATGTCTGTCTGGCACTTCAAAATAATAACAACAACAACAACAAGATCAACAGCAACAAAACAACAATGCAATGATGATAATGATAACAACGTTAATAATAATAGTAATAATAATAATGGATGCATGCCTGCTCACAATAGTAAAATGTATTGGTCAGAGCCAAAATGTAAAATATTTGGTACCTAAAATCAGAGTTCATAGGTAAGAGATTTTCAAATGTGGTGATCACCTAGTACTTTTAATGTGTATCTGTCATTGAAATAGGCTTGGTTTTGTAAGTTACACTGTGTCTAGTTCAGTCCTCCCCTTACTTAACAGAGCTGTATGGCTTAGCCTGTGGGGGAGGGAGAGCAAGCACAGAGGGCAAGCAGGAAGATGGGTGCAAAAAAAAGAATGAACAACAAACAGGAAAGGGAAGGGCAAAGTTAGGCATATCTTGCTGGAGACAGACAAAACAGGTAAGATCAGCTATAAAAGAGAGTGAGAGAGAATGTCCTGTACACTAAGGTGGAGTAAAGGGAGTTATCACTTACAATTAGTCAGGAGGAAAAAGGTGCATAGGACTAATCAAGGATGATTTGAAAGTTGTGGGTGGGTGGGGGGTTGAACTGTAAAGTCAGAGATGGGAACGTGCCTAGGTTATGCACTTGGGTTCTAGTGGAGGGGACTTCTCTTATATTATTTCCTTAGTAATAGATTTAGGTTGTTGGGTTGCCTGGCAACTTTATAAGTCCTGTAGGACACAGGTTTGCAACCTGTGGCCCATGGGCCAGATCTGGCTCATAGATATGGGACTTAGCAGCATTTGATGGTGGGGGGGCTTCGGCTGTGGCCACTTTCCCTGTGCTGCCAGGGAGACAAGTGTTGGTGGTGGGCACTTTCCCCAAGCTGCTGTGGGTAGTCTTCCCTGTGTCGCTGCGGGGACAAATGACAATGGTGGCCAGGTCCTAGTGTCCACCCTTCCACATCTGACCGGTGGTGGGTCATTCCGGCCTGCAGCTGGAAAAGGTTGCCTACCCCTGCAGTAGGTAGGCTCTGAATAGGTTTGAGCAGGTGGTTTATCAAAGACTGCCATTTTCTACAGGCATTGCTCTTTTACATTCTTTCTGTCCTAATGAAGTACTGTTGCAGTCCTCTGTGTGTGTTAGTGCTACTGTTATAATTCCTGGTCTGGTTCAATTTGTTAACTGACTTAGAAGCCCTTGCTTTCTGCCTTATTAAGAGTTTGCCAGTTCACTGATGTGCCAACCTCCTGGCTGAACATCTAGAATAGTTGTGCAACACAAGTGTTTTATGTGGTGAAAGATCCTATACTTCATCATACAAATCGTGGACACTAGAAACAATGAAGGAGATTCTACAACTTCATTAGGGTAATCTGTTCTAGTATGTAACCACTCACATAATTTGAATGCTTTTTCTAATAATTCCAACAGAATTTCTCTTGTAATTTTAAGTCCATTACTACTTGTCCTGTCTCTTGTGGACACAGAGGGTTAATTGCCACCTTCCTTATAGCAACCATTTTGTATTTGAAGACTGTCATCAATCCCCCTCTCAGTCTTCTCTTCTCCAGACTAAATAATCTAAACTCTTTCAACCTAATGCAACATTTTTATTATTTTTACTGGATTTTATACGCTTTTATTTCTTGGGTTTTTTTGTTGTTCACAGAAACATTTGGTTGATTTCTGTTATTTTGTGTTTGGTTTATGATGCTTTGGTTTATGCCTTGAATTAATACTCCATGAATTAGGCAAAGCCCCTATAAAAAAATCTAAGGTATAATAATCTTGGCAAAAAGATGCTTCTCAAATAAATCTCTAAAAAATTTAGAAAATTAATTATTGTCTGCCTGTGGCTGCCTGTCAAAAATGACAAGGTGCCAGTGGTGGCAGGACCCAGTGGCAGTAGGACCCAGTGGTGTTAGCAGCAAGACCTGCCTGGCCCTGCTCCACCCCCAGCCCCCTACCAGAAGCTTCTGCTTAGCAGAGGCTTCTGGCCTGGTGACCATAGAGCTGTTCCCTAGCCCTCCCTGCATCTGAGAGAGTTTCAGATAAGAAAAAGCGGAGGGTGAGGGAAGGATCACTAATGCAGCAGGAGCCAGCTGAGTCTGGCTGGCACCACACAGTTCCCCTCTGCATGGCCAGGATCACAGGATGTAGCAGGAGACAACCTAGCCTGGCCCCCGTGGTTCCTGTCTGGCTCCTGCTGTGCCGTGCGGTCCCAGCCATGCACCCGGGAACCACGCGGTGCTGGCTGTGCCAGGCTGGCTCCTGCACTATGTAGCTCTTGGCTGCATGGCCAGTACAATGCAGTGCAGCAGGAGCCAGCCAGGAACCACAAAGGTTGGGTTGGGTCGGCTTCTGCTGCATCCTGCAGTCCTGGCCATACAGCTGGGAACCATGCACTGTCAGAGTAATGGGTGGA